ATATATATATATATAATTGTTTCATATTTTTCTACCTAATATATTTTTAAAATTCAATTTATTAAATGTCAATTTATTTTGTGACAGGGACTACAAATATGGCAGCTTGTTCTGCTATTAACTTAGAGTTATAAAAAGCTTTAATTTGTAAAGCATTGAAATTTGTTTTAATAATTATTGCAAAAATAGAAAAATAAATAAATGTTTTTGCAGATTATAAAACAATCTGAATTTTAATGCTATTAAATATGTTCTGGTTAAATAATAAAATATTGCTTTAACTTCAAGTAGAAATAAATATTTAAATAACTTGAACAATCTGACTTTTATACATGAGTTTATATCTTGTATGTAAATTTTGGTACTAGATGAATACATGTATTAATTTAAAAACATTTCAGCATGCTACTTATGTTTTGGAAAAAATTTCCTTGGAGCAGTGGATTCCAACACCAAAAGATATTGTTAATATTTCTCAATGGCTGTTGTCCTATAATCTATCGATGGCAAAAAACCATATTGCACGAATTTTACTTGAAAAAATGAACTGGAAATTCTCTCCTCAGGTTGTTGGAAATTTTTTTTAATTGTATATTATATATTATTTAATGTACTAAATTAATAAATTATTTGAACAAAAATTGTTTATTATAAATAAAGTTTATCTTAAAACTATTACTTTAACACAAATACATTTTTTAAATATATCTTTGATTATAAAGTGTAAAATTTCTAATTTGAAATAATAAATAGATGGTCTATTATTTTTTTTAATAGAAAAATATTTTAAGGTCATTTAAAAAAGCACTCAATTTAAAAATTCAATTATTATCACTTTCTTAACTTATTAATACAAATAGCTGTTTGAAAATAGTAAAAAAGTAATATTAATGTGTAATGTTAACAATACAGCATTTGAAACCTAATTTTATCCGTGTTTCTTGGTAACAATGTCAATCATGATTATTTTTAGATTTAAAAATTAATACTTTTATTATCTTTCTTAAATCTATCCTTATATTATAAAATAAACTATTTTATTTTCATACCAATGAAGCTGATGGAGCTTTTTCAGGCAATGTTATTTCTGTAATCTTTTGGGCTTATGATAATGATAACTGTTAAATAGTGCACAAAGTTTTAGCAGTTAAATCCATTAATTTTCCTAAATGAACTTAATACTAATTGTCTAATTATATAGCTGTCGATACAGGTTTTATTCCCACCTTCTTAGGTCACAGTCCACTTAAAAAAAATTAGCATTAAGTTTGTTTCAGAAAATGATAGGCATTCAGCTACAACTCATCCTAAATTACCACTAGAAATTCTCAGTAACAAATTCTATTTATCAAAAAAGAAGAGCACTGCCTGAAAAGCCATTTTAATTTATTTAGGATAATATTTATTGGCTCTTGTAAAGAGAATAGCTAAGGTACACTACTAAGTTATAGTAAATTCAAAAAATTTTAATTAAATACTAAAATTTATATAATTATATACTTTTGGGTATGGAAAAATCTAATTTTTGCATGTGAAAAAATCAGTTTATTATTAAAAAATATTCTTGTTAAATTTTTAACTGCAAAGCAATTCCACAAATAGTAAACGGAAGTGTTAAAATTTCTAACTTTAGTAAACTTAACATTTTGTATATTATTTTAAAACTAAAAATGTGTATTTTAATGTTTTGTAGCTTGTTAATAATTCAGGGTGGCCACCCACCTGGAAAACCTTGAAAACCTGGAATTATCAGGAAATTTTTTTTATACTGGAAAAAACCTGGAAAAATCAGGGAAATATGGATAAAAACCTGGAAAACCTAGAAATTTTAAAGAAAAGCTGGAAATTTTTTCTTATATATTTTTTTATTCACTAATTTAAATTATTTGCTAATAATTTTCTCAATTTAAATTGTTTCATCCATTATACCCACATTTTTTAGACGGAAATGTATCTCCAAACAGTTAAAATATCATCAACTTACTTTGCTTTCGTCAAAATTTGCTCCATTATAACCCTGTTAAACTAGAATACAACATAAAATTCTCCCATGCAAATGTAGAAACCTTTGATCTCTATGCAGACTGTACAATTTAGGAAAGGCAAAGATTATGGTGGATGTGGGAGACGGGGTTAGGATTCGGTTTTTAAATTCTGCCCGTGTTCACACAATGATTCAAGTTTCTTCGCAATTGAGAGTGGTAATTTTTTTCTATTTTGACAACATGTTTTTGTATTTTTAACTTTATTAAATTCTCTAAAAATTAGTTGGTTATAATTTAATAATAATAGATTTTATATTGCTCTCTTTTTCTGAAAGCTTTTCAACTCCTATTCAAAGAAATCTGTAAATTATTTTTTCTCAGCAAACCAACCTATCACGCACACAAATTGTTTTAATTCTTGTCGACAAATTGTTTTTCGACAAATTGTTACAATTCTTGCATTAATGCTAATTTTTTCTGTTTCATTTTAACCTTTTATAGTATATTTTTATTTTGAAAAATGTTTTCTTTAGAACTAACTATATATTAATATCACATTTTACGGTTTTGTTGGTAAATATTAGTTTTTTGATTCAAAATTCGAATTGTATAGTTGTCACAATATCGAAAGTTCGTAAATGTTGCTTGCATTCTAGAGATGATATTTCAAAACTATTCCTCTTTTTACCTAAAAAAGCTGACAATGACTAAGGAATATATAGGAAACATATTAAATTATATATATACATGAAATAATTTTTTTTTATTCATATGTGTTTAGTCAGGAGAAGGAAAACGAAACTTAGTGTTTTAGTTCTGCACTGTTCAAGATTCCAGTTGTTCAAACAAAAACAATTAACTATGCTAAACTGAAAAACTGTGTGTTTAGATTGGAATTCTTTAAATGTTTTAATTTCAAATAAGAAAAAAAATCAAAAAAGTATAAATTTTAAGGAATTTTATCTATTTTTTTTCTTCTATAGAGTATGGAACTAAAAATTAGACAATTTTACATTTCTGACATTAATTTTTTTATACTGAGTCTCTTAAAATAAAAATACTATTTCACAATACCATTATTTAAAAATTTGACTTGAGATATTGGTTTAAGGAAAATATGATCAGTGAATTTTATAAAAAGCACTGGTAAGATGAAATACAGTATATTGCAGTATACAGTACAGCTTTATATTGAATTGTAATTACAGTGATTCACAAAAGTGTTGATACACATATGACTTTCAATGAAATAAGACTATCCATTAATTAAAATGAATGTTTCAGAATGTATATTTAATGATAAAAGATGTGTTCTAATCTTAACAAAACTGAAATATTTTAAATGACAATATGAAATATTTTAAAAACAAAGGAAAAGTTTATTTTTAAGGAATCAATCATCAAAAAATGACAAGAACTTTATCCCACAAAAGTCATCATATACTTTTAAAGAAAAAACTCAGTCTATTAGTAATTTAATTTTTCGTTAAATTAACATTTAGTGGAGTTTCCTTTAGCATCTACAATAGCTTTTAAAGGTTGAAAATACGTGCAACTAGTTTTTTTTTTGTCAGGTGAAATTCGTGCAGAATATTTTTTTAAATTTTTACAGAAACTTTTACAACACTCAATTGCAAATTTATGAATTTTTCCACAAAATTTATAATTTTAATCTCTGATTTGAAGTCCTTCTTTTAAGCATTTTATCACATATTGCACAGTTCAATTGAATACCGTAAACTAATTTAACATATTCATTACTGATTTACCTCTTATGAAGACAAATAATCAAATTTGGTCTATTTTATTACGACTACAAGTAATTTTTAAATGATAAAATAAAGTATTACGGAGTTAACAAGCAAAAATTAAAATATAATTTTGCTATTATAGGTTTGATACTAAATTGCTAATAAAGAAATGAAAAATTTAATAAAAAATAATTAAATAAAAAAAGCAATTGACGATATCTTTAATTCTGAGATCCAAAACATTTAAATGTACGATGACTTTCGTGGGGTAACATTTTTGTTACTATTTGATTAAAAAATTAACTTTTGCTTTGTTTTTAAAATATTCCGTGCAGTTTTGCTAAGATTAGATTATACATCTTATTATCAAATACCCATTGTGAAATATTCATTTTAATTATTGAATTTTTATTACCTATTTCAATATAAGTTATAAGTGAGTGAGCACTTTTGGGAGCCACTGTAATTATTAAAAATTATTGATATATAATCACCTGAAACGGTTTTCTTTTCCTTAATGAAAATATATTAAACAATACTTATCCAAGGTTTTATTGGTTATTCTGATTTTGTCATTTTGTAGGTACACTTTGAGCAAATACTACTTAAAGTAACACATTAAATTCAATAAAAACAACTAAAATTATTCAATAACAACAATATATTCTGCAAGCTAAACATATTATTTTCTCCACATCTTAATTTTTTAAAAATTAATGTTGTACCAGAACATTAAAAAATAATGAAAAAATATCTTGTAAGAAAATAAATTTTTTTTCAAGATATGTTTAAAAAAATGACATTTTGAATAAGATATTTTATAATAACGACACTTTTCTTGTACACATCCTACACTTTATAAGAAAAAAGGAAAAAAAACACAAACCTGGAAATTTTGAGATTTTTACCTGGAAAAATCAGGGAAATTTGAAATCTGTTTTGAGTGACCACCCTGTAATTACCACCATTTTTCAACTCGGAACTCTTGTTTCATTTTTTTCAAGAACTATGTGAAATAAAGGATTTATTTACTTAGTCCATTTTAATATTAAATAAAAAAATTTTAGTGTTTTACCTATTTTGATCATTTTTGGTAACATTATACTGCAATTATGTACAGAATAAGTAGTTCTTTGAAAAAATAATTTTGATAGGCAAATTTTTTGTTGTGTCTGTTACAAAAATTAAGCAAAGGTTAATTTTTTTCATTATTTAACTATATCTTTAAAATCTTTTCTGGCCCTTTTATCATTGTTAATGACAAGTTAAATGCCAAAGCAATTTTTTCCAAGCATGCAATTGTAATAAACGTAACATTTTGTGTTTATGAATCTAACCTATCCACATTCGTAACAAATCATGAACTTGAATTTAAAAAATAAATAAATCAATCTTTAGATATATTTGAGAGAGACTAAACAATTATATTTTTAAATTTTTGTTCTTTTTAATTATACAAAAATTCAATACTATATCATTTTAAATGTTACATATTTATTAGGCAAATATTTTTAGATGGAATGTTTAACTAAAAAGTTTATAATATTTTAAAAATAAATTGCATTTTAAATATCAGCAACATTTGATGTCAGGGCTCTAAATCATTGATGGTTTGTTAGTTCAAGACCACTAAAATGTAACTCAGACCATCATGAAATAATTAGCAGTGGTCCCAGACACTAGCAACCAATGTAAAAGGATGTATTAATTTTTTTAGATTTTCGGTTGCATGTTTTGGTGATTGTTTTTGTTCTGAAACAGCAAATTTTATCATGACATTGACACTACACAAACTTTGTAATCTAATTTTTCATATAAATTCATTTTATTAACTTAAAAATTTAATAAATTGAGACATATGAACCAGCAAAAATGTGAACAGACTAATATCTTTAGGTAGCTGATCCTTCAGACCAGTGACTAAATCTTCTTCATTTTTACCTAGGCTTGATGGTGATTAAATATTCTAATCTGGTAACAGAAAAACTTCCGAATGACAAACAATCTGTAGTTTTATTTCTTTTAAAATTAAGAACTATAAAAGTTAATTAAGTTATTTGTTCTGAAATTTTTTATCAACTACCAAATTTAATTTCAAATAAAAAAAAGAAACATATTTTTTTATTATTTTTGTACAAGTTTGTGATATTTATGAGATTTTTTTTTCTTGAAACTGTTCTAAATTTAATTTAACACTCACTAAAACATTAAATCGCTTTAAACCATCACTAAATCGCTTTACATAAAAAAGAGAAAAGTCTTCACTTTTGAGAACGCTAAAATCAGACAAGAAATGTACTCGCCAGGTGGATTATAGGGAGAACTTCTCTATTACGCAGCAACAAAATGTAGTAAAAAGTGCACACTAGACAAATGTCTAATTATCACTTGCACAGCAGTTGTATACACTGTACAAGGAAAATATTCATATGCAATGATCTGAGATCATTTGCCTTATGTCAATTTATTTACAAAATAAAAAAAACTTCCTCATCTTCAGTATGTTGATATTTTTTCTGATAGTGCGGCTCAACATTTTAAGCAATGATAGAAAAACCTGAATAAAAAAAGTGCCAACTGAGCCTATCACAGACCAAAGGAAAAAGCTTTTCTAATTTTTTTTCTGTAGTGAAGTTCATTGAGGCATTGTAAATTTCTTATATAACAATTAAAATATGAACACTACTTCTTTCTTATTTAATTGCAAACATAAATAAAAAATGAGCTTCTTGCTTTATAAATCATTATGTAATAATCTCTTGTATATAGGAAGTGTACAAAAATATTCGTTTTACTCAAAAATTTGTTTTTAAAGTTCTTTCTTGCTTTTTTATAAAATGTGTTCATAAAATCATTAAAACTATTTATTCTGAATTATAGTAATTTTCTTGTTGCTATCTTTTATTTGTTTATGTTCCTAGTTGGTAAAAACTGATCTATAATTTAGATTTAGAGAGTTCATAACAGCAAATGTTACATCCGTTACAAAGTAATTTGCATTTTTCATGTTTATCAAAAGTCACAATCTTTAATACTTGAATGCTTTTGAAACTATCATATCTTCTAAATATGTATTAAAAAACTTTTTTTTTTTTTAATTTTGGAAAAATCAATAGAAATATGAAAACTAATTGTCCACTGTGCAATTTTGATATTAGTGTAAGTTATGTTCGTAACAGTCAGTTTTTATTTATTTATTTATTTTTAAATTTATGAAAGTTAAAAAGTTTCTGAGAAAGTGCAGTGGACTCCAAGAGATATCCCTACAAATATTTTAATATGCATTTGATGATTTTTAATTAAGTTATATAAATTCAAAGATGACAAATGTTACCATAATGGTGGAATTGCCCTCTAAGAACTGTAAGGCAGAAAGTGTAATCTTATAAATTTAAAGTTCTTTTTTTTTCATTTCAAATCATTTATCTCTAAATAATATTTCAAGTTATTCAAATATATATTGATGAAAACATATAAATCTATCTATTTTTAAACTAAAAAAATTATATTAATGATCTAGTGAAGTTAGCACTATTTTCCCCCATATGGTTGATGTAATGATAGAAATGTTGAGCAGAAAAGAAACAGCATCTCATTGCTGAACATTAAACTTCCTTCTGAAGAATTTGGGAAAACTAAAGCAGACTGACGTTTTCCCATTATCTTTGTGGTTTGCCTGTCAAAAGATATTGAGGAAAATGAACATGTTATTACTAAATAGTTGCATACTGCTGCATGTTCAACAGGAGGATTAAAACGAATGTTTTCAAAATTTCTTTTGTACGCAGTAAAATAAGAAATTGTTTAGGTATTGCTAAGACTGCAAACCTTGTAACAATATTCAAAGCTCTAAATAAATAGTTCATTTTTATATTCTTAAAACAAATGTGATTTAAAATGAGATTCTAGCAGATTTAAAAATAAATTAAGAGGAATATGTATAAAATATAATAGTGAGCAATTCTTTTTTTTATGTAAAACTTCTGATTAGTTAATTTTTTTTTTCAACCCTGGTTCTAGGTCTGGAACAAAGAAGTATTAGGTGTCATTTAAAAAAGAAGTATTATGCTCAAATAAACATTGAAAGAATTGTTTTCATTGTCCATCGGTTGTTTTGCATTAATAAGCTCTGATGGAGTAAATGCAAAGCATTATTCCTATCATTAGAATAATAAATAATCTTAATATAAAAAACTGCCGATTCTTGCATTGTCTAATTTCATTAAAGATTTGAAGCAAATGTTAAGTAAGAGATATAAAAATGTCACTCACACGCTTCCTTGTGCAGTATGCAAAATAGAAAAGTACAGACATTAATAACTTTTCATCCAATGATTGGATTGTCATGAACTAAGATTCAGTTGCTTAAGGCCTGGTTTCTTAGGACAGGTCGGCGTTACAAATCGTTAGCTTGAAGCAAGCCCTAACCTCTGATTGATCAATTTGTGTATTAAATAGCGTTTGTCATCAAATGCTTAGCTTGAACGACAACTGCCGTTCGAATCAGCTGCTGTTGGATTGCAATGTAACATTAACGGCAGAAGCAATGGCGGACAACAGCCAACAGAGCATTGAAATCAGCCACGATTTTGATTTCGAGGAGAAATCAATATCTGAAATTTAAAAAATGACCTAATTTGTATAATGTAAGATATAAATCATACAAAGATTCTGTGCTTAAAACAATCTGTGGTTACAGATTAAAAGGTCATTTTTTTCCCTCTAAAGCACTGGTCGGAAATAACACATATAAAGTTATAGGAACTAGCTACAAAAATCAAAATAAATATTTGTTTACGTCATTAACGCATGCCCAGTACGAGATAATGTCTGAGTTGAAACGACTGCTCATGCTGAGCTTACAAAACGGTATTTTGTTGGCGTCAGGGTACATCAACCTCCCACTGACGCCCAGAGAAGGCATTTGTCTTAACAAACCAGGTCTTTAGTGGCCTAACCTTAAACTTGTTAATTAATTAGTGCAGGCGATATCTTTAGTTCTGTAATCAAACAAAAAAACTTATATTCTCTGAAATAAAATACTTTTTTTTTTTTCGGATCTTTGACCCGCAAAATATCAAGAGTAGCTGCAATCTGAAAAAAATGCTCCCAATAATTTAGGCAAAAGAGCAATTATAAGTTTGGATCCTTTAATGTTAATTTTACTCTTGTATATTTTATTATATCTCAGGAACTTTTTAAGTGAATTGAAGCATTTTTACTCTTAATTATAAGTTTTATTTATTTGAATTTGTTGATTCCATGTCGAAACTAATCTTTAATAATTATATCTTTCTATTATTTAATTATAGTCAAAATGTTTTAAATTGTAAGGTATTTAATTCTTTGTACAATTTTAAAATAGGCAATTTTAAAAGACTAAATATAAAATATATATAAATTGGTCAAAAGGTTTGAGTGATTCGATTTTAAAAAGGTCATATTTAAAGTTTTACTTCTTGAAAATTACTTGACCGATTTCAGTCAAATTTTTGCATTTTATCATTTAAAATCATATATTTATATTGGTGTAAAATTTTGCACTCCTTACAATTCAAAATATTTTGGACCATTATTAAATAAGTTAGTAATAAATAATCATTAAAAACTATTTTTGCATGTAATTACCTTTGGTTAAACAAATGTTATAATTATACATTTAAAAAATTTTATTTTCCTAAAAAGTTCCTAAAACATAGGGAAATACATAGAATGTAAAATTAAGATTATGGGGGTTCAAACTTTTGATTCCTCATCTTTCTCTATTTGACCATAATTTCTAGATTAATAATTGACCATATTTTCTAGATTGTGGCATCCCCTCATATCTTTAGGGTCAGAAATTCAAATCTGTCAAAATCATAGTATGTTTAACACTAATCATTACCAAGTTTTTTTTTTTGTTTGAAAATTAGCGGTGTAATTATATGATTCATTGGACTATTTATTTGAGACCTGATGAGGACTGTTTATTTATTTGATTACTGTATGTTACCGGTAGATACTAGTGTATCAAAGACCTGATGAATAATTTGACCCCTGTAGCAACCCTGTATATTTTTCAAGATAATAAACAGATTTCAGATTTTTATTCCTATTTATAAATTACTTTTAAGCATTTGTTTGTTATATTACTCTTGTGATTTTTTTCTTTTTGTCTTAGGGCGATCTGACTTTGCCCCTTAAACTACACAGAGAAATTGCAGTTTTAGTTTTGCAAGCTTACATGAAATTTGATAATAATGGAAATGAATGGAGTGTATCACGTGGCTTAAACCAGGTAAACTATTTGTTCAAATTACCTAATATTTTGTGTACAAAAAGATCCACTGTATAAAACAATTTACTAAGATATAATTAGGAAAAAAATTCCTTGCATGTTATTCTTTAAACATAACAATTCTTTATCTTTTCTTTATATGAGCAAAAAAAAAGGAAGTACATTATGTAAATGATCTATTCCTAATAGCTAAAAGTTCTATTAGCAGTTTTCCAATAACTCTATCAGTAACTTTGAACTTTAAAATTACAATTATATATAGTAGGTTAATCACAATGGATCTTTGGCTAAGGCATTTAGATCTCGTTGTGAAGAATTAAGTTTTGATCCGTAGTTGTGACTTAAAGCAGTCTCAGCTTCAACTCAATGTTTACCAACTTGTCTAGCAAGTACAGACTAGTGTGCAATGCTAATCACATTGCCACCATCATGCTGTTGGTCATGAAAATGTAAAGCCTTATCCTTCGTGACCACCACTAGCAAGTAGGAAACTCGGTTAAAAAATCAGAGGCTTGCTTAAAAAAAACAACAAAAAAAAAACGCAGTTACTAGAATTGCTGATAACCTCTTGTGGTCTGAATTTCTGATAATTTTTTCGGCCCTTTCCACGTGGTTTTTCAAATTCTGATATTTTTAACAGGATTGTATTATGACATAAATTTTGAATTAAGAGTCATCCCATCTAGATTAAAGATGGTTCCATTGTAAATACACTTTGCTTCCCAATAATTTTATCGTCATTGTCATTGTGTACGTCTTTTTTGTCATTGTGATGTGGTTAATTGTTATGACATGTGGAATACAAATAAGAGTAGTTATGCTTTGCAATTATAATTCTTACAATACTCAAAAATTTTAACCTATAAGACTTTTTAACATTTTAATACTAATTTGTAGAATATGCAATGAATAAAATCATTGCAGTAATAATTGTTTTAGAAGAAAAATTAAATATTTTAGGTCCCCAAAAAACACACCCTTTTAATGCCCTTTCTTATAGTGGACTACTCCGTTTCTTGAGTTCTGTCATTTTTAAGGTTTAGAATGAACAAATGCTAATCCATGATTCATAATGCTCAGGTTGTACAATCAAAAGACACAAAAATCAAGCATTAAGCTTAATTTAGATAAAGAGAAAAATTAAGTTTAAGAGGATTAGACAAGTTCTTATTAAAATTTAATGGAATTAAAAGTGCACTTTTTAAGAATTGTACAATGCTCTTAGAACTGCGCCACACAAAACTAAAATAATGTCCTTTTTTTATCCGTTAATCTACTTGTTATTTTAACTGAAACTGCATCAATGATAAAGCAAACATTGTATTCAGGTATATTTTGCTAAATTTAGTGCATAATTTCGATATAATGAAACATATCAGGTATGCGTTTCTTTTGCTAATTCATGAATTTCCGTGAATCTCAAGACCATTGATTTATGGAATTCCACCAATCATTTATAATCCCCCAAAATTTACTCACAGTTTCGCTAATCAAACATATACATTTTATTACTTTTGCAAAATCTCGTTAACAAGGCATTTATTTAGCCCTTAGCAGCACCCTTTGTTTTTCTTCCCAAACTTTCATTCACCTGCAATAACTTTTTTATGCAGATTTGTTAGAGAAAAACGTAAAAATTCTGTATATTGTAGTATATTTGTGCTATAAAACTAGTATATTTTTTAAAAACTTGTATTTTAAGGAGTTATAATTTTGTTGCAAATTCTGATTTGTTACAGAAGAATTATCTAATCAATCTGATAAATTAAACATCTTTTTTATTTGCCTACAATTAGATTGATTTTATGTTTTATATGATATTACAACATGGAAATTTTGAATCGCACATGTCCGTAAATATTTTTCAACACGCCCAAAACCATTGTAAATCCTTGTTAGACTTAGAGGTTGGGCAGCTCTGACGAGCAGGGCACATCGACCAGGTGTCTCCTGAGGATGCAGTGACCAGTAAGAAGACCTATGATCCTCCTTAAACTGTTTCTATTAAGTTTTAAGAGCTCCTTTTGACATACACTAAGACAGTCGCGATTCAGCTCCTTAGCTAGTCTCTGACCATCAGCAACGCGCCACTCCTCATGGGCAATCTTGCCGTAGAACTTGAAAATGGATGCCCTAAATGAGGTGGGAGAAATTCCCAGCGCAGGTTCAGGGCCCCAGAAAATTGCATTAGAGCCAGCCCGTGCTGCTTCATCAGTTTCGACCATTCCGTTTTTTTGCTGTTAATGCAGTTGATTTTCCCATTGTTTTTTAAATTCAAATATTATTACAACCTGCAAAGCATATTCATATTTGGGAAAAATTTCTAATTTAATGTTTATTGGAAATTAAAGTTTTTTTACGGGCACTTGTTTATTGTGCTTCTAAAATATGTACAAATAGTTATGTCCTCAATGAAGAGCTCTTTTACCTTAAAGGCTTAGGTGCCTTTGTTGATCCTGGTTTTCCTTCTAATATTATTGATTTCATAAAAAAGAGAAAATTAATCTCTCAATCCATCAAATTCACAAACAAGAACTTTAACAATTTCAGTGTTTTACCTTATTATTCAAAGATCAGTCCTCTAGTTACGACAGTTTTGAGTAAATTTAAGTTTAAAGTAATTTTTTTCCCATGTAAATAAACTAAATTTCATCAACCTTAAAGATCTGTGACTAATATTATTAGCTGGGGTATTTATCAAATTTTGTGTCACTGTGGTCTTGTGTATATTGGACAAACTAAATGTACCTTTAATCTTTGTTTTAAAGAACACGAAATATATGTTTAAAATCAGGACATTCACCAATCTCATCGCTTTGTATATTTGGAAATCAACTCACAGGTTTTTTCCTTCTGCTAAAATCATTCAACACTACTCTTCATCTACAGAACTTGATTTTTGAGAGTCATTCTAAATTTTAAAAAATTCGTTAATGATCTTTCTACTATCCCATTCCCCAATATTTGGAACTTTCTAATTTATTCTGTATCACCCTGGGGTTCTCACCAAATCCCCTCACTCTTGTTTCTTACCTCCCCTTGTCATTATTCTGTTCAAATGTGATCCTCTGTCTCTATTGGTTAAACCACATTGCATGCGTTTGTCTCATTACTTTTTACCATCATCAATGAGTCAAGTTCTTATTTATAAGACTGAAACTGAATGTCCATTTCTTTACTTTTATTTGTGCTTTATTCATGTTGGTTTTTTGCTTTAGTATATTACTATTGTTTTAGATCTTGCATTATACTTCACTTAAAAGTGTTTCTAAAGAAGATGAAGGTTTCGTTCCTTGGGCTTGGAGACTTTTATTCTCTCTTAAACTACATGCATTGGACAGCAAGCATCCGAATTGGGTAAATGTTTATGATGGATTAATAGAAATTCATGATTTACCTAATCCTTTTGAGGACCTTTGGCTGCATCCATTGAAGTTAGCATATGAATCAAATCATCCTGCAGCATGTTACTTAATGCTTGTGATGACAGATATTGGACATGGGTAAGTTTCATGTATAGATAGAAACATTTATAACTATGGTATATTGGTAGAGTATCTGAGCTATTTTAGAGTTAATCTATTATATCTTCTGTTTGTTTTGTATTTCATGATTCCCAGAGTAAATTACCAAAAATATAGATCTGTGATACTAGAGAAGTGATGCAATATCTCACTTGCATCTCATATATATGTATATATTATTTACTTATTTGTCCAAAGCAAGAAACAAAATCTTTAAAATTTTGTGTGTTGATGAGAAATAATTTAAATATTTAATATTGATTAATAAGAATTTATTATGCTCATAATATTTCAAAGTTGGGAAATATTTTTTATTGAAGCCTTAATTTTTTCATCCTGCATCGAATGAAATTAAAATTGTGTACTTATTATGTTTAAAGTTTTAGAGGCTTTTTACTTTCAAAAAAAATAAAAACTTGCACATTTTTATAATTTTTTTATTTACAAATTCTTATACTTCAAATATTTTTGACTCTGAAAACAGAACAAGTTTTTGAAATTATTTTTAAAGCATTATTTTTGATTTAGCTATGCTAAATTTTAGCATCCATAAACTTCTACCTTATTTTTGAAGTATAAAAATTTATAGTTGAAAAGTATATTTGTTTTGATTTATTCAATAACTTAGTTTTTTATGCTATTTTGATTTGTAAAAACTGACATTGACAATATTATTTATTGTAAAGAAAATGTTACATTGAATTAATCAGGCACCATAAAAAATGTCATAACACTTCTCAATCTCTTTTAATGTTCCACTATTTTAATGATAATTTTAGTAAAAATATACTTAAATGTACTTCTAATGTAAATTAAAAATTAACTTATAATATGCTTGATTTTTTTAATGGAATGCGATATGTTCTAGGGTAAAAAAATTGATGAAATATGGGTTAGATTGTTTGATATCTCTCATTAATAATCAGCATTACTTGGCAGCTATTCAGTCTCTTTACTATGTTTTACCTTTTTTTGAGAAAAATTCTGATGAACTTTTAGCACAAACAGAGTAAGTATTTTTCAGTTTATTTGTCTTTTCATTTTATCTATAATTAACAGTACTTGATTAATGAATACATATGTTTCAAAATCATAGCATATTCATCAAGGCATTAATAAAATAAGTATGGAGACTCCTGCTGAAAATTTCTAACATCATATTTGCACATGAAGGTGTAAAAAAAAATTTTTTTCATTAATTTAGCCAATCATGTTATTATAATTATATTTTTGGCTGCAGAGATTTTAAGACTTGAAACAAGGTTTTTTATTCATCTGCTTAATCTTAGATTTTTTTTATTTATGTGTTAGTTGTTGGTAGCAACTTAATAAAAAATGCGTTGAGAATAAAAGCCAAGTTTTCCATGTTTTACTCTTTAATCTCTCTTGTTACATAAGTTAGTTTGGACTGTTACTGTTAGCTTGTTACTGTTAGTTTGGAGAAGGACGTGGGTGGTATAGAGATTAGTTTAGAAACATACTGTTGCAAACTATGTGTCTCTTAGATACAAGTCAACACATACAATAATTTGCAGCCTTAGAAATATGATGGCGATCCATGATAGTTGGTGTGGTGAGGAGATTAAAAATTATTAAAAAAGGTTGCATATTAAATAGCCGAAAAGATTAAAATGAAAAATCAGCATAGAGTATTAGCATTTAGAACTAGTTATCACTATCCATAGTGCAGCACATAGGTTTTGCCGCAGGCCCAGCAGAAACATCTAAATGAAAACCAAGCATATTTAAATAAAAAAAATCGTTACTCACCTCACTATGACCAAAAAGACATCAGCTACAGAAAATAAACTAAAATATATTTAAAATAAAATATTAAAGGTTGCTCTCAAACTTCATTAGGAAAAAAATCAAACACACACGACCGACAAAAACAGCAGGCTTCTAGAAAGCCTTTTATTGCTAAGCATTCTCAATACAAAATGTGAGAAAAAAATTGCAAGTGACACAGTAACAGACGAGACATCGTCTTTTTAATCTTGGCTTACATTGGCTGGAAAGCTAAAATGGTTGGCAAAAGTAATGATTGTGCACCCAATCAATGTTTAGGACTGAAGTTGAATAAGCCAAATTTGGCTAGAAAAAAGTAAGAATAAGGTCACAATTAGGTTGCTGAATATGTAACACAAGTCAAAAAAGAATATTCTAGGAGCTATTAAAACAAAAGGAGTTACCTCAAAGTCCTAGGTGGATCTGCAGCTTTTAAATAGTTTGCGGAGATGATGGTAGCTAAATTATAGTAGTCTTAAACTAGTGATGAAAGCATCCTCATCTGCAAAGGTCACACAGTAATTCCCATGAGAAAAGGATATTTGGTTTGAGTCAGTAACAATATGAGGACTACATAATAAGATAACTTTCCACAAACAATGAAATGCCAGAAATAAATATGTGGAGTAAAGTAAAAATATTGTTAATTTTCTTAGTAAAAATTAAACTAAGAATTAATCGATATTAATCATTCAAAAATAAAATTAAAAAAACAAACAAATGTTCTAATAGACAATTACTTAAATAATAACCATACAAGAAACAAATGAAATAAAATAAAAATATGACCACCGAAGCCGACGTCTTCAGGGGGTACCGGCCTCGGTAGCCATTAAAAACAAAACCATTTCTATTTGAGGGAGAAGCAAAAGCTTAAAATATCTCCCTCAGTACCCCGATGGTTTTGTATAGAGGTCCAGGAAAAACAAGATACATTCAAAAGAATAAACAAATTACGAAAAGAAAATCAATCAAAATCATCAGAAAATTAAAAACTCACAGTCACAGGTCAAGAATCAACTTCAATTTTTGCTTCTCCCTCAAATAGAAATGGTTTTGTTTTTAATGGCTACCGAGGCCGGTACCCCCTGAAGACGTCGGCTTCGGTGGTCATATTTTTATTTTATTTCATTTGTTTCTTGTATTGACCTGTGACTGTGAGTTTTTAATTTTCTGATGATTTTGATTGATTTTCTTTTCGTAATTTGTTTATTATTTTGAATGTATCTTGTTTTTCCTGGACCTCTATACAAAACCATCGGGGTACTGAGGGAGATATTTTAAGCTTTTGCTTCTCCCTCAAATAGAAATGGTTTTGTTTTTAATGGCTACCGGGGCCGGTACCCCCTGAAGACGTCGGCTTCGGTGGTCATATTTTTATTTTATTTCATTTGTTTTGTATTGATACTTTTTTCTGAAATTTCTGCTGCTTCTTAGCGCGTTTTTTTCAAAGAAGTTTTATCCTTTTGATCTTAATTATTTGTGTTTTCTTTCAGTATTAAATAATAACCAATTATTTAAAATATTTTAACCCAATATTGTGGAAGCAAATATTAAAAAAATTAGAATTGGTTTTGTTCACACACGATGCTAATAATTAATAAATGATAATATAAATTACATTGAAGAGGAAGAAATTGAATCACAACTATTTTTCTTAATTAAAAATTAATTTAACAAAAATATACCATATTAAAGTAACATATTTAAATTAATGATATTGTTTGCAAATTACTTAATGCATGTATTTTAATTTATCAAGGTTAAATATAACAGAATATTTCAATGTTTTAAAATAAATATTCATATGTGGTATACAATACCTCTTATGTTCCTATTTAAATAATAACAAATTATTTAAAATATTTTAATCCAATGTTGTGGAAGTAAATATAAAAAAAATGAGTTTAGTTCACACACGAAACTGGTAATTCATAAATGATTACATAAATTACATTAAAGAGGAAGTAATGAAATCACATCAACTTTTCATAATTAAATAAATCAGGGCCTGTATTTCAAATTATTAGCCAGTAAATTAGCTAAATATCAAAAGTATTCTCCATTTTTCGAAAGTCTTCGCCAAATTCAAATCTTCATTTTTTATGATTAATTTTTTTCCCCATAGAAAACTATTTTAGCATCTACCGTAAATTACTGTAATCGAATTAAAAAATACTGATTTGCTTAGAAACATTCATTTTGACATAATTTTCATTTCTTTCTACTGGAAAAAATCGTTCACCAAAACACTATTTTGTTTGCCAAATTTACGATTTTATTGCATCTGGCGAATGCTTAGCGTAGGCCCTGCTAATGACATTGATTGCAAATTGCTTAAAGCATATATTTTAATTTGCAAAGGTTAAATATAAATAAGTTTTTTATATTATAAAGCAAATATTCATAAGTTGTATACAATACCACAATTGGATTTCTTTGTAAAATAATTGATATATGCCTTTTGTAGCTCAATAAATCCTGTTTGCCTTGCTGTGATCTGATGTTGGCAGAAATTGCACTAATGATTTAGTTATTTCTTCTATATTGTAAAAGGATGAATGTGCCTACTAATATGTTTTTGTTTATGTGTTATTTCTGATTCATTTATGTGTTTAATGTAACAACCACTAAATCATGCATTATTTAATAATACTTCTTAAAACCAAATCATCACATGTGTATCCACCTATGGTTTTCATTAAGGTTTATTTTTTCTATTATTTTCTTAAATTATTTAATTAGTTAATCTCTTATTTTCTCACTGTAAATTGATTTATATAGTATTTTATAACTAACTTTATGTTTTCATTGTTTTTGCTGTCTCTTTTAAAATTTCATTTTTATAAATTTTAGATTCATCAAAGCTATGGGTAGTTTAATGATAGCAGATGCGTCAGTAATTTCAAAGATAACAGGAGAAGCTATTGTTGGTGCAGTTCTTCTGAAGCTTGCCTCAATGATAAAGGTAGCTAAAAAATCTTTTCATTGAATTATTTTAGAATTATATTTAATAAATGCATCAAAGAGATACATACTATTAATCTTGCTACTAAATTTTGGAAAAATAAACATTTTCGTGCACAGATATCAGAAAAAGTTATGAATAGGTATCTGGAATATTGTATTTTTGTGTATTGTATGTATTTTTATGTGTACTTTATGTATTGTATGTATTTTTTATGTGTACTTTATGTATTGTGTGTATTTTACACCAATGAAAACAAATAAATGAGAAACATTTTCTTTTGAAAAAAAAGAACAAAATAAGCAATGACTGTATGTAAATTAGGTATAAGATAATAACTAAGCTCTTCACAGACATCTGTGCACTGCGGTAAACTGTGATGTCATAAGGTAGTGGCTGTATGATGACGTAATTTACTTGCCCAGGCTTGTAATGTTAGGCCGTTTTACATCATAGCTTAGCCCAATCCTTATATTTTGCTCATCCATCTTTAGTATGGTCAGTCATCATTGTCTAGATGATGCCAGTATAGGGTAAATAGATGGAATACTTTAAACAGGCCTATCACAGGCTACCTATTGTAGGAACAGTGGTCCGCAAACCTAGCCATGGCTGAAAAAGAGCAACAATGCCGGGTCAACTCTGATTTGTAGCTTCTAGCCAAAAGGAATAAGCCTGTGACAATGATGCAACTGTCTCACAACCAGTATAATGCAACAGGAATATCCATTTCACATATAAGAGTCACCCAGAGACTTAATGCAGGTGGTATGTGTGCCGGGCACCATGTAGTTTGCATTCTATTGACTATGAACTGCAGAAAAGATTGTTTAGCATCATACTAAGAACACCCATCTTGGACAGCAGATGATTGGAATGGGTTCTCTTTAGTAATTAGTCACGATTCAGTCTGGACAGACTCAACACATGTTCTCATCTGGAGAGAATCCAGGACTCAATATCAGCCCTCTAACATTGTCGAAAAGGGCCACTATGGTCGAGGTGGTCTCATGGTCATGGCAGACGGACCTTCGTGTGTTTGATAGAGGTACTCTGACAGGTCAGCTTGTGCAGGGACAAGATCCATGCACCCTATGAGATTTTCCTGTGGAGCATATGGACCAAATTTCATCGATTTCTACGATAAATGCCTGTCCACACAGAGCTTAGTTGGTGGACGAATACCTCTTATCAGAATACATTCAACAGTTGTAGTTGCCTACGATGCTCACTGACCTTAATAATTTTAAACACATATGGGATAAACTTTGATGCACAATTTACTGTTGAAAACCAGCTCTAATGACCATCAAGAAGCTGAAAAGTGCCTTGCTGCAAAATTGAATGCAATTGCCACAGGGATTGATAAAGACCCTGGTAATTAGTATGAAACACAGATGTAACTGTTAGAGGCAATCATACACCGACGTGTTTTTCTCTCAATGATAAGGTGTTGTTCAGTTGCTGTGCTGGACAAGTGACTAGTTTCCTTGTTTAGGGTACAGGTTGTGCCCATTTTTGTTTTCCCATATATTGCTCTTGTATCAGTTGATATTTTGGCCTGGTTTAGTTTTATATGCTTTGTTAGTTTCTTATATTGCAAAAACAAACTTTGTCCTTTCAATTGCTTTCACCAGTGAAGCATGACAATTCAATGAGCTTTAAAAAAAATTTGTACTTACAATGTATAATTTTTAAATTTGATTTTAAATTTCATCATAAATATAGTGTTAGTCTGCATTCACTACTCTATACCACAAATAGTTTGTAAGTTGTACCCCTATCTCTTGAAAAGAATTCATGTAGTTCAACAGTTTTTTTTCCCACTGAAGCAGAACCAATAGAAAAAAGTATGAAACTATGGCACACAAGTCTGTGTGCAATATATATTTCTTGGTTGAAGTAATTAATTTTAAGTAAGCTTTTATACATATAAAATTGCTTCTTGCATTTTATCTAACATTAAAACCGAACACCAAAATTTAGTTTAAAAAAACTGATATATACTATCAGAATAATTTACAATTAATTTATTAAATTTTTAGTCAAAATTATGATCTTGCTGTTTAAGTTTAAAAAAATTGCATTTTTTGAGAGCTTATGTAATAATCTTTTAAAGTACATTATTTTTCCTCTTTTACTGCCAAAAGTTTTAAAATTTTGTTTTTTGTAAAATTTTGTTTTTGATAAATTTTTTCTACATTATATAATTTTAAAACCAACAAATTAGAAATAAAAGCAAACATGACATGTTAAAGTAATAAAATCAAAGAAATACAGTCTCATCGTTCCCCATTCCATCAAGCTCTCTTTTTGGTAGACTAAGGTCAAGGGTGAAATAGACTGCCTAGACGTTTCAGACGATGGGTTTATTTTAATTTTCTTTTTCAAGTTAGGATTTTCAGTTGATTGTGTTGTAAGGTTTTTCTGTTTATGTATTGATAAATATTAAAAATGAAATGTTTAATCCTTACAAAAGTTGTAAAATCTTCAAAGGCAAACTACTTCATATACCTCTTACTATAGAAAATATTTTTACCCTTTTGTGAGTTACAATACTTTTCTTCAGCAAGAACTTTATTTTACGGATTGATAAAAGTGGTTGAAGATTTATTAATTTAGACATCTAATAAGACTCAATAAGTTATTTGCAACTGATGTTCTACCATTAATTTTATGAAATCTTGACTGTAGTAGAAAGAAATATCAGAAGACTGATAATGATCTAGTAATAGGAAGAAATACTAGAGATCACTTAAAAAAAGTTTAGAGCGATAAAATCAATTTTTTTTTCTCACAAATGTGAGAAAAGTTTGTTCAATTCTTAATAAATTTATTTCACAAAAATTTCCTGTTGAATATCCTTTTCTTAGGCGCATGTAGATCAGATTAGATTTAGAGGATGGGCAGCTCTAGAGAGCAGGGCACATCAACCAGAGCTCTATTGTACCCAAAACCCAAATCATGATTAGCAAGCAAGCCTTATAGCTAAAATAAAGTTTAGCAGACACCTTACAGGAACATCTTGCAGTTCCCAGGTCTTCGTGCAGTATTGCGCTAAATGCTCAAATCTTTGAGCAGATTAGACCTCTCAATCACATAGTATATGTCGTGAAGTCTCCTCTTCAAGATGACAACCTCTACAAAGAGGATTAGTTTCAATAGCCATTACGTATAGGTGTCTCCTGAGGATACAGTGTCCAGTGAGAAGACCAATGATTTTCTTCAAACTGTTCCTGTTTAGCTTAAGAAGCTCTTTTTGACGTACAGTGGGATAGTCACGATTCAGCTCCTTAACTTGTCTCGGACCGTCATTGCTCATTGGTAATTTTGCCATGGAGCTTAAATATAAATGCTGAATGATGTGGGAGAAATTCTCAAGACTGGTTCAGGGCCCCAGAAAATCAGACTGGAGCCAGCTCATGCTTAAGGCGCATGTAACAAGAAGATTATTCCTCAGCAAAATTTCTAGCAGCAAAATTTTATTTATTTTCTGATGTGAAAGCTCACTAATTTTGATTTAAAAATAATAGTGCAAATGTAATGTGGTACAAAGTATCTTCCTGATGAATGTGGCAGAAAACAAAATCTGTAGCACTAACAAAACAACTTTTGACTTTGATGTTTGTTTCGCATAGCAGTGCTGCATCTAACAGAGCTTTCAACTTGATCAGGAAAAAATAGACTGTTTTTCATTCAACTCTTAAGAGCTGAAACTTCATCTTCTCTCTTTATAGAAAAAATGAGAACATGAATTGAAATCTGAAATGTTGTGGGGAAAAATGTGCAGTTGCTCAAATGAAAAATGTTAAAATGGCAATATAAAGGGTTAGTTTAAATTTGACCAAAAAGTAGAACATTGATTCGAAGTAATCAATTCAATTTTATCATTTCATATTAAAGTATTAAATTTTAGTGAAGTATATTTTTAAATTTGGTTCCTTTGCTTAAGTGTTTATTTTATTTGATAGTAAAATTTATGTATTACACAAAGGCCCACTCTACTATTTTTAATGATAGATTCCCAAATTTTTTACTGTCTCTTGATCTTCCATAGTAAGACTTTTTTTCCCTGTTTTTTCATCAAAAAAAAATGCACAAATTTTTACATTGCTTTTTTTAAAAAGAATCTTACATTTTCTCAAAAGTATCTATTTCTTTGCTCAAAAGCTGACTTTACTTAAGTTCTCAATCAATGTAATTTTTAAAAAAAAATCACAATGTGATTCATATTTACGCAATTTTAATATAAAATACGATAATTGTGATTTCTTCTCAAAATATTTAAAATTCATACATCAGTCATATTTTTTTAGTGATTTCAAAATCAAACATCATGTTTCTTATTCACAAAAATTATTTCTATGGATAGAAAGCAAAGTAAGAGTTTTGTATCTAACTTGCATTCCAAAACATAGTTGTAACATCCAAATTCATGGCTTACATAGTTAATTAAAAAATAATCATTTTAGAAAATTTTAAATCATTTTCCTGAATCTATTTTTATTTATTTATTTTTATTACTTCAGAATGATCAAAGTGTGTGTTAATCTGAAAATCTATGTCTTAGTCATCTATAGTGTTTTTCAGTGTTAAAATGTAAGGCCTTTTTTCATAAATCCATGATCACCCCTGTTACTGGTTTCTATTGCTTCTTGTTCCATGGTGTGTAGCGTTTTTAAAAGTGCTTGCAGGTGTTTATAATAGATTTTCGTTTTTTGAAAGCCCTTGAAGGTGCTTTTTTCATTGGGTGTTTTTAAAAAGTGCTTAATTTTCTCTTTTCAAAAGTAACATTTTCGAATAGGTAATGTCAATTTTCGCCATGTCTTATGTAAAATCGTACTTTTTATATTATTCTGTTCAACTTTTTTATAATTCATTCAATTAAGATCTATTTTGATGTACCGGTGATCTTCAGATTATGAAAGCCTCAATCATTTTACATGTTTGATGAAATACTTGCAAGTCCTCATGTGCGTCTACTGAGCTGAGTTTGGTGAGATTATTGCACTCTCATGTGTAACTCTGCTGCATTTTGCAAGATATTCTCAATTTTAGGCTTCATTTTCCATCCTCTGCTATTGAACCAAAACGTCTCGTGATCATTTTATAATGCCTAATATAATCAAGAAAAGAGTTCTTTGTCAGAAACTAGTTACTTTATCATGATCATGCAAAGAAAATTATTTTGTATTTTATTAATGTATATAAAACTTAAAAATATTTTTTGAGTGCTTAAAAAGTACTTGAAAGGTGCTTATTTTTTGTTGAAAAATTTGGCTACGCACCCTGTGTTCTCAATTCAGTTATTTCAATTTGTTGTTTTTTAATTTTGCATTTTTTAGAATTTCTAATAATTTATTATATGTTTAAACCAGTGATGCTTTTGACATTTTCATTTTTACTGCTTCCATATGTTCACACATTTTTTATGCAACTGTGGTTCAGGCTAATCTCCCTCCTATCAAAGAAAAAAAAAGGTTATATGAAACATCATTTTTCACCTTCTAATTCTCGATAGGTTGATGTTTTGGTCCATAAAAATCAGATGTTTTCTTTTTTGTTAAGGTCTATTTGTTAGTAGGAAATGGAGTGAGGCATTTGCTTAGTATGTGCATGGTCATTTGAGAGGTTTAAGAAAAATTATAATTTTCTATGTGCAGTACAACAAGTGGATTGACAAATTTATTGCTTCAATTTTTTGTCTGAAAAAGCCATTAATCCGTTGAATATATTTCGTAAATTATATCCCATTTTTTTTAAGGATGGCATGTATAATAGCATTTACACCTTTATTGAATAAAGTTGCGCATACACCTTATAATTGCGCTAATTTGAACTACATGAATGTCAACTGTATATTTCTATGCTATTGTACTTCTGATAGCCAGTTTAGAAAGTTGGCACCTCTAAGTATTTCAAAAATATTTATTTTCAACAAATTATTGTCCTGCAATGACACACCAAGCATTGCAGAAATGTAACCCAAGAAATGGCATTTCAATAGATTATTTTCATTTTTAGTGCCAATGCATTATAGGTTTTTTAAATTCTGAGTGAATAATCTATATTTGCCTTCTAAGGTTTTTACATTCTTAAGTAGCTGTAAATATTTAAAGAATTAACAGTCTCACTTCTTTCTCAGAAAAAAGATGTTTGTATACAAAAGATGTTTGTATGAAAGTCTTTTTTGCAATATAGTAGGGCAGTTCTTTTAGACCATTTATTTAAGCAAAAGGTAAGTTGTATGACTATCTCAGTTTTTTAATGAAATAAATGGATATCAATAATTATGGATTATATAAGCTTTATTTTACTATTATCAGTAATACCTACTGGTACAAAATCACTTGATTATGCACTATATAGCTATCATCTGTTAACTGTTTTAGAGTTGATAAAGAATGTTTTCACAGAAGAAGTCTGCACACATTAGAAATTATTAAAATTTGAAGTACAACATGGATTTAAAATCTTATATCTATATCTTATTATTCTTATATTATCTATTATCTATACTTTGCAATTTAAGTAATGTTTTCTTTCATTTCTATTAAACATTTTCTTTTCGTTAAGAAAAACCATATTGAACATCCTCATATAACAAAAAGAGCTAATGGTTTCACATATTAAAATAAATGACAAAAAAAGGCAAGATAATTTTTTGAATGAACATGTACTTGCCAGGTGTATGTGTTTCTCTTGAAGCAAGCATTTTACTTTCTTTACTTAAAATTGTAATGTTTCACACATTCTAATCTTATTGCAATAGTTATTCTTCACAGTTATACAATAGAGAACCATTTATCCGGTATCCAGATAACCGGGAAAAATTTTGCTCGATTTTCCCGCCATTTTAAACTAGAACGATTTTAAGCTAAAACGAAAAAAGCTGAAATTGGACTCATCCTTGAAGTTGTAGAAGAAAATGTAAGGAAGGGGAAATTTTTTTTCCCCGTTTACCCAGAGAAGCGTCATTTCCTCCGTGACCTTGAAGGCAGGGAAGGGAGGAATGCTTTATTTTTTCCTTTAGGCCGTCAATCAAACTCAAGGGTGTGGCATGCTGATTTCGTTTTCTGCTTGATTTACGACGGGGGTGGGGAAAATGCATTGCATGCATATCAGTGAGCAGAAAAAGAAAAGAGAAAAATATATTTATTTGACATCGACTAATAAAAATAAAATCTTTTTCTTTTGAATAAATTCTCATTCTTTGGAAGAGCGGTATCAATTGCAAGTTTTTCTTGGTGTGGAATCACATCTGCTGTAATTAAAAATCTTGTTTTTATCAACAAAAAAAANTTTTTAAAGCTTCTTTCCACACAAAATGTCACCCATGGTTTTTAAAAAGCCATGATAACAATGATTACATAGTTAATTACACAGGGTGCATAGCCAAATTTTGAATAAAAAGTTAGAACCTCTTAAGCACTTCTTGAGCACTCATGAAAGATTCTTAAACTCTTCATTTCTAAAAAAAATATAAGGGGATATTTCCTTATCGTTATCTGTAGGGCCAACTACAATCACCAAATCAAAGTGCCAAATAGATTTTGAACTTTAAAAAAACAAGTAGGTGCTTGCCTGGGGGTGGATACGATTCAAGTTGGTCACTTTCTGTGATTTTTCTTATTTTTAGTTTCTCTAAGGCCATTGCTCAATAGCCGCCAAAACTTGGCGATTATTCTGCAACAGATCACGATACAGAAATCTTTCCAAATATGATTAGGATATGTGCATGAGGGTTCGATAAAACATCGATTAACGACACTTTTTGGTCGATCCAGAAAACCGGGAAATTCAGATATCCGGGATAGCGATGGTCCCGAGCATCCCGGATAATTGGTTCTCTACTGTATTAGTATGTTGATTGTATACCATGCAAATTTTTTTCCATCTTATGCTAATTGCTAATAAATTCATATTCAGTTTTAAGCTTGACCTTTTAATTTTTATGTATGCAGATATAATTTTATCTAAAAATAAGAATTTTTTTATGTTTCAGTATTAATTACTTAATTTGTGCATAAGTTTTTATAAAATTATTTTTTAGCATCAAATTGCAGAAGCTGGTAGTTTGACAATTGAATGTGCTTTACCTCTTTTAAAACTCTGGATCAAGCTTCTGTTAAAAGTGTTGGCCCATCCATCATTGAAATCATGTATTAAAGGTTATTCAAAACAAATACATTATCTTTTAGATATTGTTTTGCAAATAGCTTTTACGGACTCCTATACTAGAGACAGTATTTTGGATCTCCTTTATACTCTTGGTGCTGTAAGTATGTGCCTATTTATTTTGTGCAAAAATTAAAAGTGCGGCAGAATCTCAAAAATCCAAATTGCTTGGTGTTATGAAAAGGCAGGGGTCTGTCCAGGCCGAATTTACTACCGTTTAGCGGTACCTTCACAAATTCAATTTTAGGTAAAACGGTAGTTTCACGAGTTCAACTTTAGGAAAAGCGGTAGTTACACAAAATACTTTTTCTTAAAATTTTATTTTTGTATCCCATAAGAAACGATAAATCTATATTTTTACCATGTTTTTGTATTGATTTTTTAATATAATTTTGAATTTTTCACAAATTATGTCTAAATTTTCACAAAATAGGTACCTTTCAGAAAAACCTAGACAGGCTCCTGAAAGGATTTCATCGCAACAGGAAAATTTTGAACTGCACAACTGAGTACCTAATTACTCTTTGATCTGCCAATTCCACTTTTAATTTGTGTCTTCTTACCCATAAGTTTTTGCCTGTAATTGTACTGTTTGCCTGTAAAAGTTCTTAATCGTGCAATAGCATTAATACCTGCGAATTTGAGTAAAAACTTTTTAAACCCTTAACCTATGAAGATTTCATTGCAAATCTAGGTAGTTTTCTAAAATGCTTTTCTGGCATTGTTGCAGTGAATTTCTTTGTAGCATTTAAATTCCCAATGTCTTCAATACAGTAGTATTATGACATGCAAACTGAGTCTCTAGTCGAGCAATTGAGCTTCACTTTTTGACATGCTTGGTTCATGATGATTTCATCAGAAATCCATATGGTTTTGTCGTGCACTTTTAATGAAGTTTTTACTCCAGGCTTCCACATTATTACAAAGTCGCTTATTTTTTAACATAATAGTATTGCGACAGATAAACTTCCACATTTTTTTTTAGTTCAAAATAGATTTAGCTCATTTTTTTTTGCCATGACCTAAAAATAATTGCCTGATTTTCTAAAGTTTATGGATTTTTGAGGTTACACTATACTATCTTATTTTCTTGACATTATGTGGTTTTTAAATATTTTATGTCTACAAAAGCTTATGGTTAGCTAAAATATTAGTTCTTATTTTTGTGTGCAAATAATCATCTAATATTAGGTTAAATTTTATAGAAGCACCAGTTAAGCATCCCCTCAAAGTTTGACAAAAAATGTGTTTTTTTGTGAGGAGGCAATTAAACAGTAATGATTGTAAAATACCGATAATAATCGGTAAAATAGCAATATCAGTGATATGATGTATGTCAAAAATACTAATAATAATATTCATAAGAAATACAAATAATGTATAAAATCTTAAAATTTCATTCAATAGATTTTTGAAATATAATTACAAAAATAGATTTCAGAAATGTGTTTAACTCTTAATAACCACATTTGTGATCTATTTTGTTTTCATGAAAAATGTCAGCACGTTATGACGCATGCAATCAATGAGCAATAAACAAATAAGAGATAAATATAAAATTTAACATATTAATTACAAATTTATTGAGTAAAAAGCATGCTTTCTAGTTAAAATGAAGTTAAAAGTTACCGATGACCAATTTCATTCCTGCATTAGAATTTATAAAATTTGAAAAAGGTTCTTTTTTAAAAAATAATTAAAATTACTGTCAAAAACTTATATTTTAAATTTTTTGTTAAAACAAATGGTGTGGTTTTTTAACATGTCGCTTTTATTTATTAGAAAATTAAGCTTCAATGATATTTAAATTAGTTACAACATTAGAATAATGTGTGATTTGTAAGAAAAAATTGCTTTCTTTGAATTATTTTCTATTATACTTCTATAAGATGCTAGTCCTAGAAACCCAAATAATAAAAGCTTATTATTTCATTGATCATTTGTTAAATGCAAACTTAGTATTAGAGTAATATACATACATTGTATCTTTCTGTTCTACTGTTCTTTCAACCATTTTCTTTCTCCCCCTCTGTCACATGTTCTCCCTTTCCTCTTTACATTATTAACTAGGACTGAGTATTAGAGTAATACACATACATTGTATTTTTCTGTTCTACTGTTCCTTCAACCATTTTCTTTCTCCCCCTCTGCCGCAGGTTCTCCCTTTCCTCTTTACATTATTAACCAGGAATAAGACAAACACTCTTTGCTTCCCTGAAAAAGAGAGTAAAAAGAGGACCTTTATGCTAAACCATTATTTCCCTCATCCTCTTGAATAATTCTTAGAAAGCAAAGCTATTTTTTTACTTTCTATTATTCATTCCCTTTGCCCTCTTTCTCCCTTGTATTTCTTTTTTGTTTCATTTTTATTATCCTGAGAGGGAACTTTTAAATTTCAGCTTGACACAGTTGTGATTGATTAATAAAAACATCTTGTCAAAATTTGTAAGAAATCCACTTGTTTGGACCACTTGTCCAAATTTTTTGAAATTGCAGGGAGGCATTTCATCTAGTTGGGACCCTTGTTCTGCATATTATAGTAACAAGACACTAATCTAAATTATCTAAAAACACTTTATCTAAAATATAGTACACTAAATAAAATTAAATGTTATCTCTTCTGTCTTAATGTTTATTACCGGATTGTGCTCTTTAGGACACTTATCAACCTCTATCTAGATATGCACTAATTGGTTTTAAATACATTGCCCAAACTTACCAGAGAGCTTGAGTACTCATGAGATAAGTGCTAATTTGTATGTGTTTATTGATACTGCATTTTCTCAAAAATAAGGGAATATAAAAAACCCGAGTTTTTAGGTGTTCAAATATATCGAAATAGCCAATTCAGTCACATTCCAGATGGTCAAGCTTATATTGCAAGTATGTAAAGATATTTACGTACACAAATAAAATTAATAAGATGATTTCACTTATTTTTTAAGATGTCACAAAAAGTTCCTTTTTTTTAAATTTGAAATGATTTAAATTTGTTCATGACAATGTAATTTTTAACTGATTAATTAGCTATTTATGATTTTGGGAGTAAAAACCAGCTTTGAAATCCATTTTTAACTAATTTCTTTTTTCCTATTCTCTACTAAGTGGTTTTGTCTGTATGTTGATGATATATTATACCCTTGTGAATAATGTTTGCTCTTAATGATTAACTGAAATATTTTAATTAAATTCTATTATCAGTGAAAAATATTTCAAATTTGTGATATCTTTATTAAACCATAGAAAGTTTAAGGACTTCGTATAGTGATCCATAGCACATTATTTTGACATACTGATCACTATCTGATAAAATAAAAAGTTTTAATTATCAGAAATTTACATTGTTTCTATTGGAGGCAGCCACTTTTTTTTTTTATTCTTCTCTCAAAGTTTAAAGAGTTTTCTGGTCTAGAAATTTATAAGGATTGAGAATTTATTATATCTTGTTTCAATATTTTGTACTTTGAGTTAGTTATATGTGGGTGAAACTCTTTTGCCTGGAAATTATGTGATATAGTTGATAACTATATTGATAATGATATTGATAATGATATTATGTGATAAACACAATCGTCAGACTGGTCGTTCTGCATTGTTGAGGCTCTTGGAAGGTGCAGGAGACAATCTAGCATTTTAATGATGACTTGTCAAATGATAATTTGTTTCGACCAGCCATCGCTGGGAATCGAACCCGGATCACCATCGTGAGGCCAGTGCTCTTATCTCAATCTAAAATGAGAAAAATGCAAAAATTCAAATTGAAATTGCAAAAATTCTACAGAAGTATCATTACTTATTGTTACTCACATTTACTAATAAAATTTGTATCTTAAGGTCTGATTATTAGGAACCTTTTTCTCAAATTGTTTTTCTTTATTCAGTACATTAAATATCATTGCAGGTGATTCTTGTTTCTAATCTTTTATTATTTCATTTTCAGATTCATTTGTCCGATAATAACACTGCTAACTCATCATTTTGGAACAAATGGAATAAAAATAATGACTCTAATTTTTTTTCAATATTACAAGAAGAAACATCATCAGAATTTGCATGGTTAGCATTCAGTGTTATTTGGTCTGAATCAAAACAAGAACTTATGCAAGCTTTGTGGAAAAGAGTTCAAAATGAAATATACAATGATGATAAAATCAGTATTTCCCTAGCCATTAAAGTATATTTTTATTTCATTTACCTTACTTTCATATGTGATCTCTGTTATAATTGTTTTTTAACCTAAAATAAAATTGCTCCAGAACTTGAGAAGTAATTACAAGTCCTCTATTTTAAGTTGCTAAAAAGTCTCATGATGACTATAAATATTCGCTGAAATGTTGTTCATAAGCAATCACTGCATTTTTATAACAATTATTTGAAAATATATAGTATTACCATGCACATACTATCAAAATCCTTTGAAATTAATGTCATTAAAATCAAACTTCCAGCTTTTAAATTGTAATATTGATTTTGTAAGTTAATTTTTATTTATTGATTTCGATAATATTTTCCAATTTTAATAATAAGTTTTATTCTGATAATGTTGACTATTTTCAATAATGCTCTTATTTACTATTTCCCAATTGTTATTTTGTTATGTTCCCAACTTTATTATATTTTTATAATGTTAGATTAAAATTTGTATTCTTATTTAAATTCAGACTTATTTAGGTCAGTATTTAAAGATATAAGAGGGTGATTACACAAGGCTTCTATGCCACTAATTTATTAGTTGAAAATGTCTACGTTAGACACAACTTATATAGATTTATCAAGCTTGTAGGGTCCAAGCAGGGTGAATATTATTTTTAAAAAAAACTTTAAGATGCTTTTTTTTTAGTTTTTTTTTTAAAGGCACTTAACGGTGCTTAAATTTCATTGTACTTCAATAATACAGTATAGTTACATGAAAACATAATTTTTTTACTATATTCTTCAATTACATTATCTGGAAAAAAGTATCTGAGCAGTCAATAAAATCATCGGCGTGTGGGTTTCGATGTTTTTAATAGTTTGACCTTTAGGTCCAGTGCTAAATTCCAAGATGTATGTGATTATTCAGGACAATACTGCTGTCAGAACTCCATGGCAATATGTCAGGAAGGCCCATTTCTCTTCCAGTAGGGTAACTACTCTGTTCACACATAAAGATTTGGACAGTTGTGGTTTTTCAAAGTGGTTATTCGAAAACTAGACTAGCTTTCTCAGAGCACTAATCTAAATCTCATGGAATACCTTTAGGACAAATTAAAACCCTGATTTTGTAACCAACTGAATTGCAAATACTTACTGCACACACATCAGCTGTGATGCATGCCTAGGAATCAATTCCTGTAGCCACCTGTTAAAAGACTGCAAATCTCTCCTGACACGTGTAAACTGTCAATAAATGCAAAAGGGGGACCAAAAACATAGTAATATATGCCTCAGAATTCTCTGAGGTCACACCACTGAAAATCAGGATATTTTTGACCAGATAGTGTAATCACTGTTATTAATATACTATCAACAATATCTATAATTTATTAGCTATGTATATCATTCTTCGTTAACATTTATGTCATAAGACAGGGGTCTGCCCAGGCCTAATTTACTACCGTTTAGCGGTACCTTCACAAATTCAACTTTAGGAAAAATGGTAGTTTCACAATTTCAACTTTATGAAAAACGATAGTTTCACAAAATACTTCTTATTAAAATTTTATTTTTGTATCCCTTAAGAAACGATAAATCCATAGTTTTACCATATTTTTGTGTTGATTTTTCAATATAATTTTTAATTTTTCACAAATTATGTCTAAATTTTCGCAAAATAGGTACCTCTCAGAAAAACCTAGACTGACCCCTGTAAGAGTTGTTTTTTCCTCATTGAATAATTCTTTATTTGGAAGCAAAATTTCTTATATTCAGACACATTATAATGAGATTTTTTATATCTTAGAGAATTTTATACACAAATTTTTCTTCGTCTTTGGAGCCACAATTTCAGTTTCAATGAGTATCAAATTATGAGTTTTTGTAAATATAAATTTTTAGATAAATCTTGCTTGCAATAATTCTGAAACACTGCAGTAAGGCTCTTTTTGATAAGGTCTTATTTTTGCATGAAATAGGGTTTGTGTTTGAATTGTTATTACCTTGTTTGTTTGAAAGTAAGCTCTTAAAACATTATTTTTCTAGTGTATTACATTGTAATCTTTCTTTTTTTTAAATTCTTGCAAAGATACAGTTGCATTTTTTCCTTAATGCTCTGAAGATATCATGTTACTGAACTAATACAACTACCCCTATTTTTGAATAAATAGGGATCATTTAAGATTCCCAATTTTTGATTTGTCTTAGCTTTTTCTTCTTATTGCTGAGTTGGTTAAAATGTTTGTCCTTTTGATTCTTTACATTCATTTTATCTTATTATCATTTTTAACTACCTGATGAATAATGGCACAACCATTTTGAAACATATAGTTCGTTTTATTCTGTTATATGGTGTCTTAAGAGTTACATATTTATGTATTTCACACAAGGTTTGTATTTCTTCAAAGAAACATTGTTTTCAAAAATTTATAAATTATGTTGGCTTATTCTACTTATTTCAGTTTAGTGTATAAATATTTTTCTTTATTTAGAAGTCAGCTCTTTTTCTAAAAATTCCACTTCCAACTCCAGATGTTCTCCCAATTTATAGATGGAGTAAACAAATAATAGCCACTCCTGTGTCTCACCCATCTTTGCCAATAATGTGGCAACAGTTCTTTCTACTCTACTTTCAAAGAATTTCTTTAGAGTAAGTAAATCCAAAGTACACTTTTATTATATGTTTATTCATTTTTGTTTATATTTGCATACTAGATACACTAAATCATTAGATTTGTACCCACCGAGAATATCGGAAAAACCGGGAATTGTCAGGGAAAATGAGATATGATAAAAAAGTAAGGGAAATTTTTTTTTTGCCTTTAATTTTCCCCAAAACTGGGAATTTGACAACCTATCAAATTGTGCGATTTTACTCTACCTTAATTTGTGCTTGCACAATAGGGGATTTAAAAAATAATCAACTTCTTCCGATTATTCTTAAGCGTTTCCTGGAGTGATGTCAAATGAATGTCCTAGTTAAGTAACTTGAAACTTCTGCCTTGAAAGTATTGACTTGTTAGGTTTTTTTTTAAATCCACTTTTGTGTCTCAATTTTCGCCATCCTTAATTTATTTTGACAAATTAGTACTTTATAATTTCGGATAATACATTAATTATTAGAAACAAAATATTTTTTATTGTCTACTATCATTCTTGATATTTTTCTATTTTTTACTACTACTATACTATTGTCTACGTCATTGTCTTTTATATACTACTATGTTTATTATCTGTTAAAGTAGCAATATTTTTATTAGGGAATTCTGATTTCTCAGAGTTGCGGTATCATTAGTAAGTTTTGCCTGATGTGGAATCACATCCGCTTTCGTTAAAAATCGTTTGCTTCATAATATTTTTTTCTGTTTGGTTAAAAAAAATAAAAGCTGAAGATTATTTACACATAAGCAATATTTTATGAAGCAGATTGCTGCTTTCTCTTTTTACTAGTGATACATTTCAAGATTACAAGATCCAAAGATAAAAAATCAATAATTATTGATCAATTATTCTTCACATCTAATTTTTTTTATCTAATCTATTATTAGTCTTTTATTACTATGTTGGTTGTATTCCATGTAGATTTTTTTCCCTCTTATGCTAGTTGCTGATAAATTCGTGTAGTGTTTTTAGCATGACCTTTTAAGTTTTATGTATGCAGATATAATCTTATCTAAAAATAAATAAATATTTGACATGTTTTAGTATTTAATTACTTAATTTGTGCATAAGTTTTTTATTACATTTTTATTAAATTCGTTTTTAGCGTCAAATTGCGGAATCTGGTAGTTTTAACAATTAAATGTGCTTTTATTGAAAGAATTTTTCAAAATAAAATTATCATTCCCTGGTCACAATAAAATTTGTACTTAATGAAAATTAGTTCTTCATATTTGTAAATTTTATGATAAAGATTTTATATTTTATTCACTTGATTGCATTATATCCTTTGTCCCAGGTTTTAAAATCAAGTTAGCACTTTCAACTTTCAATTCCGTCTGTTAATTTTTAAGTGTGGTTCTTATTTAATTTGATTGATAGGTTATCATTGTATTTTAGAATTTTCTTTTAATTAGGTATTAAATATATCACGTTTTTCATTCGTTATGTTTTATATTAATTTGGTGATTTTAATAAATGTTTTATATTTTTTTTATTAATTTCTCATTTTACCATCATCTATATTATATAAAACGCTAATATGTATGCATCAATAAAAGCGATGATATTTCTTTTCTTGCATTGGCAACAGTTTTCATTTTTAATTGAAGGCCTTTTGTACAAATCTCTAAACTTTTTTTCGTATTTATCCACATAATTAAGAAGTTGTGAACTTATTACATAAACACAATAGCATTTGTCCTCGATTCTAACCAAATATGGGTGTGCCACATCTCCGATTGTCACTGAGAAAAAAACGATTGGTTTGTTTTGAGTTCTGAAATAGTTCCTCTTCATTGGCAGAAATGAGAAATGTTATGCTATTGCTATTTTATTTTGAGTTGAGCGCTTTACTATTCCATGTTTTGTTATATTATTAGATGCCGTTTTATTATTTCATATTTTAAGTTAAATTTAATGAGAGTTAAATTATGAATCTTAAATTGATAAAAAAAAATTTAGATTTAGCTAAACCAGTGTATAGCCACGGTCAGTTATATGTTGGTCAATCAAGGGTGAAATCCTTCAATTCTATAAGTGTTATATTGCCAAATGCCCAAATTAACAATTGTGTTTTTAAAGAAATTCTACAACTTCTATCCAGCTACTTCTACAACTGCTTCTTGAAGAACTTGGCTCATTGATTAAAAATATTGTTTTAATTTTACAGTACTAACTTTACTTCTACTTACATTATTGCTATGACCCTCTTTCATTACATTTTACAACTTCATGCTAAATTTGAGGACTTTAAGTTGTTTTGTGGTTGAATACTGACATTTAGAAATGTGTACATAAAAAAAA